CAACCGTGCCCCGTGGACCCGTGGTGAAGATAGGAATGCCGGAGGTACCTGTTCTATAATGACAACCGCAGCCGCCGCGCTGACCGCTGACCAATGACCGTTGACCACCTAGTACTTAGTGGCGCAAACCTAACCTCATATTTTTGCATTGATACCACGTATATAGATACTATGGGTGCACAACTACGGCCTATATTGAATTACAGCGCTGAGCGGCGCCGAATTTTCTTATCAAACCTGACAAAAAGTCACATGACACATACAAACGCCCTACAGCCTGCCATTATTATAGCTGAACTCTTATACCATGTTACTATTGTATAATTTGTATAATATTATGGTAATGGCTGTAGAGGGCGCTTGTATATGACTTTTTGTTAGATTTGATAAGAACATTCACAGCCGCCATATCCGTGATCGTTGTGCAACCATAGATACTATAYCCGTGGTTGATACCATGATCACTATTCACAATTCGTATTATTATCTACACACATTCGCTGTTTATCGTGTAGATCAATGTTATAATAATTAATATTATCATGGTGTTTGTGTACAGTGCTGCAGTGTATCATATTTTATCCACGTGAGAGATATTCCCGCGCAGACATTCCGACCACGTTACTGGTGTTTTCACTATTCCGCCGTTGTAGCTTGTACGAGTGCGTTATTTTTTTGGTAGGTACCTACTTCTTTTAGTCATATCGCGATTAATGATATTAATTTACAACTCTCCGCTGTTTTGAATTTTGACGTACGGATAATATAGTCGTAAACCGTTGGCGTGTTTAAATGTTTTTACGTTTTGTATTTATTAGGGAAAGAGCAAGTGATGAATTCTAAAAACACTGGGTCTATGGACAAATCAGGTACTAACGTTTATAATTTTATATTTCAATAATAAACATGTCGTGTATACCATTCCGTTCTTACTGTCCATATAGTTGTAGTTCAAGATAAGCAATCGAATGAAAATGGCACTCCAAAAACTGTTGATAAAAATGGAGCCAAAAGTAAAAAACGTAGAACGTATTTACGTGACAAAAAAGCTCCAAAACCTCCACTTAGTGGTAATTAATTTATACGATTTTATATAGTTTTAAAATAATGTATTATTCCAGAGTATTAAAATTAAATTCTTTGTTCATCTATATTTACAGGATACATAAGATTTTTAAATAATAGACGTCAACAATTTTGTTCTCAAAATTCCAATTTACCATTTTCTGAAATAACCAAAATACTAGCTACTGAATGGAACCAAATGCCAGCAGATAAAAAAAAAGTAATTTCTACATAATAATTTATTATCGACTTTAATGTATTGATCATTAATAAATGCATATATTAAACATTATCAACAATTTTACATATTATTCTTTTATTGTTTTTAGCCATACCTTTTAGCCGCTGAACAAGAACGAGTAAAATATGTTGAAGAACTTGAGGCTTATAAAAAGACTGATGCATACAGAAATTTTATGAAGTTAAAATCAAACAGAGCTAAATATGATATACCTATCAAAAAAGTTAGTTGAAATATTTTACTACACATATGATTTTTATATAAAGTTTATATTATGTTAAAATGTCCTATATAATATTATACAAGAAAGTTTTAATTATTATTCTGTTGCGTCAATTCTYTACTGTAAACATAAATATTAAAGATTGATTACACCAGTAATTTAATGATACCAAATTTAAAAAAAAAAAATTCTTATTATTTTTTTTTACTGTTTTAAATATTAAATAAATATAATTTTATGAAAAATATATATTGTAAATTAAGATTATTATAAAATTACAAACTCAGTATATATGTTTTTATTTTATTTAGGAACAAAAATTAAAAGAAGAAAAATCTTCCAATGATACCAAATTYAAAAAGGTAATGTTTTATTTATATTTGAAGTTTGAATAAATATTGTTGCATGAAAAAAAATTTATTACAGATGAAGATGTTATTAAACTACAAATTAGTTGTTAATAACTATTAATTATCTATGAATTTATTCTATTATATGATAGATTAAGAGGACGCTACATATCCATTTGTTGTCCATGTCTTGCAAGTGCATAACATGGCAAAATTACGCTCAGCAGATCACATTTAGCTCTGTTAGTTTAAAAATTAGAGTGAATTGACCTATTATGGAACTTGATTTTATAAACATCTTTGTTTGTATTTGGGTTTTTACGATAGTTCAATTTTATAAGCAAGTCATGCATATATAAAAAAAGTCTAAATTTAAAATACTCTTAATTTACTTAAAAACTAAGTTATTGTAAAAAAAAACCTTCATACAAACACAGACCATCAAGTTTCAYAATAGGTTAATGTACTCTAATTTTTAAATTAACAAAGCTCAATGTTATCTGCTAAGTGTAAAATTGCTATTTTCAGACTTGTAAGATAGATGCAACAAGTATGTGTGTAGCATCCTCTTAAGATAATCATATAATTACAAATTCATTTTTTTAAATTATCATATTTTTCGTGTTTTTATTTTATTTAGGATCAAGGATTTAAAAGAGAAAATCCATCTACATCAAGTAGTGGTGTAAGTATAAGAATTCAATCCAATTATTAATTCTTATTAATTATCTATGTATTTATTTTGTTTAGGATCAAGGATTCAAAAAAGAAAAACCATCTACATCAAGCATTGGCGTAAGTATAAGAATTGAATCCAATAATTAATTCTTATTAATTATCTATATATCTATTTTGTTTAGGATCAAGGATTTAGAAAAGAAAAACCATCTACATCAAGC